AAAAAGAATTACATTAAGATCACAGAACTTACTAAGGGATATCAAATAAGAATTGAACAAAACGCAGAGAGATCATGCTTCTGGATGAGAAGACTTGATCCTATAAACTGAATTCAGCTTGCCATAAAGATACTGAAAGGAATTCATATCACTTGACAACCTGATTCTGAAATTTATCTGTGCGAGAAAATAAAACAATTCTGATAAGAGGGAAAAAGAACTTGCCCTCCCACATATCAAGAAAAGTACAAGCTAGACAAGTCTAAGAATAAACGAATCCACTAATAGAGTACAACAGAGTCTAGAAATAGACTGCATAGACAGACAACTCAATGAACCAAGACACTAAGTTAACTCAGTGGATGAAGGGACTTCTTTTTAACAAAAGGTGCTGGAACAACAGCCTATCCATCCTTGGGAGGTGTGGGAAATATGATGCTCAATCCATTTCTCACATTCTAACCAAAATCTATGTTAAAAAAGATTATAGAAGCTAAAATGATAGAGTTTCAAGCAGGAAACACAGGAGAATACATATGATTCTGCAGTAGGCAGCTGTCTTAGGACACCAAAGGCACTAAACATTGAAAAAGTTTTTGATAAATTAGACTTCACTGAAATCAATACTTTTATTTATCAACAGGCACCATTAAAAAGACAGACAAGCTGCAGACCAGAAAAAAAAAAAAACTGTCATATACAGAGCTGACACCACTGGATCCAAATTATATAAAATATTTCTATAAATCATCAAGAAAATGATGAACAATTCACCCTCTTAAAACGGTTGAAAGACAAATGGATACTTTAAAAAGATATACAAACATTCAGAGAGGACATGAAAAGGGGCTCAACATTTATGATCTCAGAAATACATATAAAAACCATAATGAGTTGGTATTTGACATTAGTAGAATTTTCATGAAGTAGTGGAAAACTGGAATTCTCATCACTGCTGGATATAAAACAGTAAAGCTAGGTGAGAGAACTGTTAGGGACTTCATTATAAACTTGGGCTTACATTTACCCTTTTTCATTACTAGTAATTTATTGGAGTGGGCATTATGGCACAGGGCATTAGGCCATTGCATCCCATATCAGTGTGCCAGTTTGAATCCCGGTTCTTCCACTATTGATCCAACTTCCTACTAAAGTGCCTGGGAAGGCAGCAGATGATATCAGGTACTCAGATCCTTGTCACCTACATGAAAAAGCCAAAGGGAGTTCTGGGCTCTGGGCTTTAACCCCCCCACAGTGCTGGCTGTTGCAATTGTTCAGGGAGTCAACTAGTAGATTGAAAACTGATAAACTGATCTTGCTTTTTCCTCTCTCCCTCCCTGTCATTTTGCCTTAGAGAATGTATACTGAAAATAAAAAAAATAACAGTGCTACAGATATAACCATAGAATGGAATAATACCCAGCAATAAAAATAAATCAATCACTAATGAAACAGGAAGATGAAAAAATTAAAAATGTATATATTAAGCAAAAGAAGCCAGGTGGACACAGACATAAGAAAGCATTCTATCATCATATTTCTATGAGGTCTGCAAATATGCAAAACTAATTTATGGCAACAGAAATCAGAAAGTGGCCGTGTGACATAGAATAGGGAAAGGGTACTGGAAAGGGCTGTCTCCTCTTGGGGAGACTGAAACACTTCATATCATGTTTTGGGTGGTAAATTCACGAATGCATATAGCTATGAAAAGCCCATCAATTGAGAATTTAAAATGTTCAAATTTTACTGCATATAAATTTTACTTCAAGAAAAAATATATTAAAATGTAACTTCAAGCCCGGCGGTGTGGCCTAGCGGCTAAAGTCCTTACCTTGAACGCCCCGGGATCCCATATGGGCGCCGGTTCTAATCCTGGCGGCCCCGCTTCCCATCCAGCTCCCTGCTGGTGGCCTGGGAAAGCAGAAAGAGGATGGTCCAAAGCCTCGGGACCCTACATTCACGTAGGAGACCTGGAAGACTATCCTGGCTCCTGGCTCTGGATCAGCATAGCTATGGCCATTGCAGATATTTGGGGAGTAAACTAGCAGATGGAAGATCTGTCAGTCTCTCCTTCCCTCTGTAAATGTGCCTTTCCAACCAAAAAATAAATTTGAAAAAAATCTACACTCTGGAAATTAAAATTATTACAAGATATTAAAGAAAACTTAAATAAATGAAAAGACCATGTTCGTGCATTTAAAGACATTGTTAAGATGGCAGTATTTCTTAAATGATCTGTGGATTTAACAGAATTCCTATGAAAATCCCAGCTGGTGTCGTAGCAGAAATTGACAAGCTAATCCTAACATTCATATGGAAATGCAAGGGACCAAGAACAGCCAATCTTAAAAAAGAACAGAGTTGGGGAACTCACATTTCCCAATTTCAAACCGTACTATAAAGCTAGGCAAGTACGGATGTATAAAAGACTGATGGAATACAGACTCTAATTGCTTCTTGACAAGGATGCCAAGACAATTCAATGGGGAAAATAGTCCTTTCAAAAATGATGTTGAGATAACTGTATATCCACATGCACAAAGACTGAACTTGGACCTGTGTTTCACATCACATACAAAATTAACTCCAAATGAATCAAATGTAATACGAATGGACAAATTACCAATAAGCATATGAAATACAAATTGCCAAAAAGCACATGAAAGGATGCTCAACATCATTAGCTGCCATTGAAATAAAAATGAAAACCATAATGAGATACCACCTCACACCCACTGGACTGGCTGTAATTAAAAAGACATAATAACATGTGAGAATGTAGAGAAATTAGATCCATTTTACATTGCTGGTGGGAATGGAAAATGGTATAGTTGCTTTGGAAAACATTCTGGCAGCTCTTCCAAAAGTTAAACATAGCATTATCAATATGACCCAGCAATCCCACTCTTAAATATACACCCAAGAGAGATGAAAACATGTGTTCATGGAAAAATATGTACACAAATGTTCATATAGCAGCATCTATAGTAATGGAAAACAGAAACAACTCAAAATGTCACCAGATTAATAAAAACACGCCATTTCCATATAAAGGAATGTTGTCTGACGATATAAGGGGATACAGTACTGACAGTGCTGCAATGTGGATGAACCTTGATAATCTCATGCCACGGGAGGGGAAGACAGTCACAGAACAACTCTGAGTGTGATTAGATTCACATGAATTATAGGTTAATGGCTGCCAAGGGTGAGGGAAGGAGATGGGGACTGGGGAGGGACTGCTAAGTGGGTGTGGAGCTACTTTCTGGGGGGATGAAATGTTCTAAAGCCAAACTGTGGTGACAGACTTCTGTGAACACACTAAAACCCACTGATGTACACAGCTAAATGAGACAATGTTACAGCATGTGAACTGCATCTCAATAAAGCTTCTAAATAAAATAACCTTGAAATGCACAAAAAGGGAACGAAGACTGTGTAAGAACCTTTAAGATAGTATTAAGGTTAATTCTCAAAGTACAAACATTGAACAAAAAAAGCTCTTTTAAAAATGTTTAGAACAGGGCCCGGCGCCGTGGCCTAGTGTAGTGGTTCAAGTCCTCGCCCTGAACGCACCAGGATTCCATTTGGGCGCTGGTTCTAATCCCAGTAGCTCCACTTTCCATCCAGCTCCCTACTTGTGGCCTGGGAAAGCAGTTGAGGACGGCACCTGCGTGTGAGACCTGGAAGAGGCTCCTGGCTCCTGGCTTTGGATTGGCACAGCACCGGCCGTTGCGCTCACTTGGGGAGTGAATCATCAGACGGAAGATCTCCCTCTCTGTCTCTCCTCCTCTCTGTATATCTGACTTTCCAATAAAACTAAAAAAATAAATCCTTAAAAAAAATGTTTAGAACAAAGAGCTGAATGTAAAACAGGTCTCTGCCCTGTCTCAGCAATATAATAATGACAAATGACAAACAGATGCCAACTCCTCAATTACTATTTTTGCTTTGGCTTTCTCAGTTCCTACACGAGAAAGGAAGCCCAGTATAATTGGCAGTGAGAGTGCAAGCACTTTTAATAAGAGTTCAAATATTTCAAACTACATGACCTATAGCCCAATGAAACTGGGAGTAATTTCAAATGAGACCACTGAAGCTATGTTGATAATTTTTGAGGAATCAGAGAGAGAAATGTTCCAGGAGATTGGGCAGGTGTAATTTTATGTTTCAAAAATGGGGTAAAAGTTAACTTCCATAAATCACAGATGTGTGACTTCAATGGAAGTCTAGAATAGATTATTACAAGGATGGCCTGCAAAAACCTCAAAAAGGAAGAATAAGTACTAGAAGCCAGATTGAATCCACCATGGAAAACTCAATTTAGGTTAACTCTGATTTTTTTCTCTATACTGTTACTAAGCCAGTAGCTGCAAGAAAGGCAATCAACATAGTACACCTGGACTTAGCAAGGCAAGGCATCTGACAAGATCTTTTATTATAAAATCCTGGAGCTCAAAATTGAGAAATAGGATCTAAATGTTAATTTTTGTTAGCCTATGTTAACGATCACTTGAAGGGCCATTCTCAACGCATGCAGATTATCAGAACACTCCCATGCTAGATGAAGGTTTCTAAGAGCATAAACCATAGGGTTCTTCTAGCCTTAGGAGCCTCATCATTTACATTCAATGACTTGAATGACTGCACGGAAGCCATGCTGATGAGATTTATGTGATAACATCTGGAAGGGATAGTGAATACTTGAAATGATAGGACCAGGACGTTGATTTTGATTAGAAGTGGTTGCAGGTAAAACAAATCAAAAACTAAAACTGGCTTGGACCGGATGAAATCAAGCCAAGGGCCAGATCCAAATCTCATACCTGAATTAGAAGAATGAGTGCAAGGGAAAGAAACAATTTTTCACATCTTCTGAAATCATCCTCAAATGGAATAGTTTCTGTTAGAATGCGATCTAAAATAACTCAGGCAAAACATCAACAATAGCAACAATAGTAGTAGAAGTTCTGCGAGGATCTTAATTACTCTCTCACCCTCTTTTAGACGATCTCCTTCAGCCTTCGTTTTTTTCTGCCTTTCTGATCCAGCAAGGTCTACCAGATGCAGCTTGGAGCGAAAGCTACTATTCCTGTGATAATGATAGAAAGACACATATGAGAACCGTACACAAGTCTGACAGTAGCTGAGTTTCAAAGCTGATGCTCTCATTTATTTCCTTTTTAAAATATTTATTTCTATTTGAAAGGCAGATTTACAGAGAGGACAGATGCAGAGAGATTGGCTGTTTTTACTGCTGGTTTACTACCAAAACGGCCACAACAGCAGGAGCTGTGCCAGTCTGAAGCCAAGAGCCAGAACCTTCTTCCAAGTTTCCCATCCTCCCAGGGCCTTAAGCCATCCTCCACTGCTTCCCCAGACCATAAGGCAAAGAGCTGAACAAGAAGTGGAACTGTCAAGACACCCACTGGCGTCCATGTAGGATGCTGGTACCAGACATGGAGCATTATTCTACTATGCCATGGCGCTGGCCCCACATTTTTCAAGTCACCCCAAATGGCTTCATTGGTCACTAGTGCTCACAGTACTGATGAATGCTGATTTGTTAAATCAACTAAAGAAGCTGTCCTAATTTCAATGTTAAAAGAACTAACATTAAAAATCTTGACTCCTTCAATTTGAACTTACTTGTCATTTTTCTTTCTTTGCTCTATGGAGATTGTAAAGATGGCATGAGAACGTGACGACTGGGAGTTCATGGCTGTAGAGGCCACAGTCCTGGAGTTGTTGCCCTGCTCCAAACAGGAAACAGTATCCAGTGCAACAAAAACAGTCTTCTCGGTAAGTCCTACAATCTAATTCCAAGGGGAAAAAAAAAAGTTAGGATTCGTACCTCAAATGCTTAATCAGAAATTTAAGGATTGGTTGTTTGAAACAAAGGCTTTATTTAATAAATATAAGTCATGGTAATAGAGCTGTTTGAACTAGCAACTCTGAAAATCAGTGGGAACCAAGGTTTCTTTTTTATTTTTTTTTAAATTTATTTATTTTCATTGAAAACGCAGATATACAGAGAGGAAGAGAGAGACAGAGAGAAATACCTTTTTTGTTGTTGTTGATGAAATAATTTTATTAATCTGTAAGTCTTATTTCCAAAATAAAATGAGAAAACAATTCTGTGTTCTAATTTTTAAAAAATACATATCTGGAACCAAGGTTTCTGATCTTCCCTAGGAACCCCACTAACAATGGTGACAGCTGAAAGGAACTAGCGAAGATCTTTAGATTTCAAAACAAACAAAAAAAATACAACAGGTTGATTGTAATGCTTCTTCTACATACACATGTACCTACTACTAAAAAGCGAAAATGCACATCAAAATTTGCTTTCATTGCAATTCTAACATTTGAAAACTAGAATATTTAATCATCTGCCCTAACTATTATACTCAAAATATCCAATGTTTTCCAATGTTTACTTTCCCTTAGCACAAGTGACTTTGCACATCAGTTCTGGGTTCTGGATTTCATCTCACCGACTTTAGTCTTCTAAAACATGTGGAAGCACCTGACTCAAGGGCTCAATGGTTAAATCCTTACCTTGGAAATGCCAGGATCTCATGTGGGCACCAGCTTGTGTCCCAGCTGCTCCACTTTCCATCCAGCTTCCTGCCTATGGCCTGGGAAAGCTATAGAAGATGGCCTAAAGCCTTGGGACCCTGCACCCACATGGGAGACCCGGAGGAAGCTCCTGGCTTCAGATTAACTCAGCTCTGGCCATTGTGGCCATTTGGGGAGTGAACCAGCAGCTGGAAGATGTTTCTCTCTGTCTCTCTTCTCTGTAAATCTGCCTTTCCAATAAAAATAAATAAACCTTGAAAAAAAATCATTGCGTGCTCTTTTTTAAGCTGAGAGTACATGTATGTTAACAGGCATCTTGGATTGACCAGTCATTCTCTCTGATCAGGTAAAAATGCCCTTCCCTTATCCTCTCCTCATTTTGGACCTCTGGCATACCATCTGCACACCTCCAGCAGATTGTTGAGGTGGACCTTCTGTTCCAGGGCAAGGGAATTTGGCTGTAGAATTGAGCATCAACTTACTAAGGTCCTTAGTTCTTAGAACTTTCTCCCAGAGACATGCAAAAAGACTCTGGGCCAAGGTTGGATTATGTGTATGAGGTGGGTTCATAATAGTCCAGTTATACCTCGGAGGTGTTTGCCTCTCAAGTAAAGGAATGCTGAATTCTAGTTAGTCCAAAGTAGGTTGAAAAGAACTAAACATCCCCGAAAGACACAGAAAGAGCAGCCTCCAACACCAAGTATGAAATGAGCCAATCTACGAACTCTAGATTTTATGTTAACCAGGGCTAAAGGGCTCTCCCGAGAGCCTGTGTAAAGGCAAACTTTGGCTCCAACAACAGTACCAACAACTGTGGGATTTCTTCTTGTTTTCTGATACACTTGTGATCCCATCCATATTCCTCCTATAACTCTGATTCTTTTAATATTTTAAATTTCTTCACTTATTTGAAAGACAGCCGTCAGAGAAAAGACAGGTAAAGTTAAATCTTCCATCTGCTGGTTCACTTTTCAAATATCTGTAATAGTGAGGGCTGAGATGGGCCAAAGCAGGAGCCAGAAATTCAATTTAGGTCTCCCTAGTGAGTAGTAGGGATTCAATTACTCCAAAAAGCACTTGCTACTTCCCAGCGCGTACCTTAGTAGAAAGCTGGAATTGGGAGCGGAGCCACTATTCAATCCCTGGCACTACGACAGAGAATTCAGGTGTCCCAAGCAGAGACTTAACCACCAGGCCAAATGCCCAGGCTTGATGCATTCTATTCCTCATTTTTACCAGAAAGAAATGACACGGTACAGTATTCACTGTAATGAGGAGGCAAGGAAAAAATGAACCCAGGCTTGTATCTAACTAGGGGAACTTAAGTCAAAATCTCGTGGAGGCCTTTGGGCAGACTGAACTCGATGGTTATGATTATTAGCCCCAATCTACCAGAGCTACATCTGTGGCCCTCATTTTTAACCCTTTATTTTTCCTACCTCTACTTGCCAGCTACTTACACATTGGAGTCAGTAAATTTATAAACTAAATTCATTTTCTGTCAATACGGATTCTCTCTACTACCGCTCCATTTCTATTAACATCTCTCTCCTCAGTCTGAAAAACTCAGATTATGTTCAACTCCTTCCGTTCATATATTCCACCAACTCCTAGTCATTCTTCCTTCATTCTCCCATCTTCTTTTCCTTTTCCCAACTACTTGCCAAGTAAAAAGTTCACATTACTTCATGCCTGAAAAAATAAGGTGACAATGTCCTCAACTGGTCTTACTCATTCTAGTCTTTCTCTTTTTCAATCCATTTCTGCCTAGACTTCCCAACATCTTTTCTCCTAAAATGTCATCAAACTACCAACCCTTGGGCAACATGACAAAGAGATTTTCTAAATATTGGAATCTCTTACATGAAGAAAAGCTTTGCTTAAGGGTTGCATACTTTTATTAGCGTAAATGTGAATGATCCTACTCCTTTGGAGTAAAACGCTTACCACTTCCCAATTATATTAAGCTTCTGATTGGAATTTGAAAAAATGGAAACCTAAATAAAACAGGTGAAAGTTTCCTGACTATGCAGGTGCATACATACACAAATTGTAATTTCTAGGAACTGATGTGCTTACAAAGACATACACATTAAATAAAATTTAGTAATAATAAGTATCCACAATAATCCATGATTTTGAGGTATTCCACAGTTTATGTACATTTTTACAGGGACAGATATAAATTAAGCTTTCAGCCTGGCTTCCTATTCTGGTCCCAACATACCTCCTTTTACTTACCAGCCCAGATCCTCCAATCAAGACACTGAACTAGTTGTATTAGCTTAGATATATATTACCTGCTTTCTTGCTGAAGTCGGTCCTTATGAGAATGCTCTTACTTCTTTTTACTACTTGTTAAATCCCAACCATCCCATCTGAAGAATGTTTATAAACTCAGCCTTATTCACCCTAGTGTGTGTCAGCAACTCATATCTGCTATGCAAATTTCACCTCAAACAGTGGGTAGGATTTAATTTCTTAGTAGGGGGCACATTCAAACAAAAAGCTGGCTCTATAGCAACGTTCTTTCTGGGCAAATGTGTTTGCCCAGGTTTTTTATTTTCACCAAAAAAAAAAAAAAAATCATATTCCCTGTCTAATCCCTGAACCCAGATTTTAACATCTGGTTAACAACTTAATGATCAAGAAGGAAAAAAAAAAATTCTAGACAGCATAGATATTTGCTCCTAACCTGTAACACAAACCTTCAACTATCTTTTTTTTTTCCCCTCTGTTTAGAGAAAGAAGGGAATAAGCAGATGAGTAAGACAGTATTTTTCCAAGTTTCCCTAAGTTTGACTATCTATTTTCCTTACTTCCAGCCTCTGGTTTTCCCACAGCTGAATACTGCCTGTTTTAAATTGGGCCCAGCCCATATAAATAAACTACCAATCTTACCTCAAACTTTTTTTTTTCCAGCTCTAGCTCCTATATCCTGCATCTGTACATATGATAGAAGGCGCTCAAAGAAGTCACCTCGTCCTCCTATGGTACTCTTTTTTTTTTAATATCACCCAAGAGCCTAACACCCTGTCTATCACAGTGCTGACAGAATGTTGTGTGATCATAGACGCATTCTCTATCCATGCCGTCTACTAGAGCTGTCACTAGCCACATGTAGCTATTGAGCGTCTGACATATGGCTAGTGCACAGAAGGAACTGAATTCCAAATCTGATTCAATTTTCATTTAAATTTAGTCATTTGTGACTACTAGCTACCACAGTGGACAGCTCAGCTTCCGAACTCCACAAACAATGAACTATTACTTAGTTGACATTAGGATCCCTTCAAGGAGTCACAGGCAGGTGATAGAAACAAGTGTGACCCTTCCACTTTTCTCGCTTCCCTCTCTTCCTTCCTCACAAGAGCTCCCAGGTAGGAACTCCACATTAACAGAAAGAATTAGGATCATACAAACTCCAAAACACTAAGATGCTAGTAGGCGTTTAAAACCACAGTGACGAATGAAAGGGGTTTAAAGTTCAGTAGTGACTTTCATTTTAAAATAGCATCAAATGACAGAAAGACACACCTTTATGCCTTCCTTAGGATCTTCTCGAATGTTTATTTGACCGGCTTTCTCACGAGATGGGCACAAAAGATCCAAAATTTCTTCATTGTAAATCTAATATTGAAAACAAAGTGGCAAAAACCAAAATATTAATAGAGGTAATTTCTGGATGGCAAGTCAGTTAATTTTGAAAACTCTCCGTGACTTCCAATATTTTATTCTTAAAATATTTATTCATTTTTATTAGAAAGTCAGATATACAGAGAGAAGAGACAGAGAGGAAGATCCTCCGTCCCATGATTCACCCTCCAAGTGGTCACAATGACTGGAGCTGAACCTGGCACACGCAGGCAAGGACTTTAGCTGCTAGGTTACTGTGCTGGGCCTGTGACTTCCAATATTAAAAGATTTCTTTATAATGAATTTGTTAATATATAGAATTAAGACAAGGGGCATGGTGCGGTAGCCTAGCAGCTTAAGTCCTCACCTTGCTTGCGTCAGGATCCCATATGGGCGCTGGTTCTAATCCTGACAGCCCTGCTTCCCATCCAGCTCCCTGCTTGTGACTGGGAAAGCAGTCGAGGATGGCCCAAAGCCTTGGGACTCTGCACCCTCATGAGAGACCAGGAAGAGCTCCTGGCTCCTGGCTCCAGATCGGTGGAGCTCTGGTCATTGTGGCTGCTTGGGGAGTGAATCAATGGACACAAAATCTTTCTGTCTATCCTCCTCTCTATATATCTGATTTTGCAATAAAAATAAAATAAATAATAAAAAACATATTAAGAAATGGATGTTAGCACTGTATGTGACATTTGATATTTCAGAAGACTGAATTCACACTATTACCTATAACAAAATTGAGACTGCTTTATTTTTGAAATGACATATATATTTTTATTTGAAAAAGTTACATAGAGAAGAAGAGACAGAAAAAAACTCTTCCATCTGCTGGTTTACTCCCCAGATGGCCAACAGTGGGCCAAGAAGAGATTCATCCAGATCTCCAACGTGGGTAGCAGGAGCCAAAGCACGTGGTCCATCCTGATGCTTTTCCCAGGCTATTAGTCGGGAGCTGGATCAAAAGTGGAGTAGGTAGGACATGAACTGGCAATCACATGAATGCTGTCATTGCAGGACACATACTATGCCATAGCTTCCTTGGCTCCAAGATTGCTGTTATCTTAAGACAGATTCTTTGGGCTCAGAACAGTAGCTCAATTAGTTAATCTTCTGCTCACAAGCAGAGGGAACCCTCATGGGCACCAGTTCATGTGCCAGCTGCTCTACTTTCCACCCAGCTCCTGGATTATGGCCTGGGAAAGCAGTGGAAGATAGCCCACAGCCTTGGAATCCTGCACCCCCAGGGGAGACCGGAAGAGGCTCCTGGATTCGGATCGGCTCAGCTCAGGTCATTACATCAAACAGGGGACTGAACCAGTGGATGGAAGATCTTTCGGTCTCTCCTCTCTATAAATCTGCCTTTTCAATAAAAAAAAAAAAAAACTAAATCTTAAGAAAGACAGAATCTTTTAGAAGTAATGGACACACTCAGTTGCACAGGTGCCAAAATTCAGTTATTTGATTAGTGTCACCAATTTTGTTACAACGTGAATAGCAGATTCTTGCTAAGAGGGTGAATCAAAAAGCAAAAGAGAAGTGACAACTAATACTTAATCAGCAGGACACTGTTGAGCCATACTAAACACTAAGCTTGCTATTATTGCTGTTATTTTTATATTCAATTGCTTTGGCCACAACAAAGCTAATCGAGACACAAGTGGACTAACCTCAATGCTGCTTAAATCCCTTCCAACTCTCTGTACCTCCAATATCTGCTCACATATGAAGATTCAACTTCAGCATGAAGTACTCACATACAGTATCTAACTGCATGCTTAAATGATGTAAGCTGAGTTTTTGCTCCTCTTCCTTAACATATTCCTACTATATAACCAACCAGCTGGTTGCTCAAAAGCCATATAACAAATTTCTCACGCTTGTGTTTTTGCTGTCACGAGGTTAGATGTAATTTGCCTATCTACTTGTACACTACACTAAAATGCAAATCCCCATAAGGGTGGGGACTTATTTCTGTTCACTGACATGATCCCCCTGCCTTAGAGACCCAAGTGCCTAGAACGGAGATGGGCATACAGTAGATGGCCAGTATATATATGTTGAATAGAATCTCATTATTTTACCCAATCCGTGTATTCATCAAGCAGCAGCTTGATTACTTAGGCCTCAAAACACACACACACACACACACACACAAATAAAAAATAAAAAGGAAATCAAATACTTTTCTGCAGGCTTTATAGGGAATCAGAAATGGAGGCCAAAATTGGAATCATAAAGAATTCCTATCATTTTTTCATACAGCAATGCCAATTCCCCTAACAATCAGATTAAAGAATCCTAACAAGGAAAGAACTGGGTGGGGGCCAGATCCTATTGAGCCAGTAAGTTTTCTCTATCAATTTATTAAAATGCAATTTAGTAAAAATGCTGTTTACCCATGTGAGTCATGCCAGGAAAAATCTAATTTTGATTTATTTTCCTACCCATAGATAATTTTGAATTCAGAAAAATTCAAAATAAATCACTTACCTCCAAGTAAGATACTTTCAAAGTAAATTCGAAATCACTCTTTTTATCCATTTCTTTGAACAGCAGCTGTATTACCCTAGGAATGACCCCAACTGTTGGTTCATTCTCTTGATCTGCAGTATATGCACCCCCCATCGAGTAAGTTTTTCCAGAGCCAGTCTGCCCGTAGGCCAGGACAGTTGCATTGTATCCTGCCAAAATACAAGTTACATGCATGGTGGTACTCAAACATTTTAATCCAATCCACATACTCCAGTTCCTTCAACAATTCCTTACAACACTGAGACTGCTCTCTGAAGACAAAGAGTTTCCTAAGGAAGATCAGATGTACAAAAAAAGTTCTGAGGGCATCATCACTTTCAATCATCAAAATAAGAGAAGGAAAAATACAATCTCTGAATGTGTATCCTTATAGATAATTCTTAGAACGTTAGGTCAGGGTCTGCTGCAGTAGCCTAGCGGGATAAAGTCCTTGCCCTGCACACGCTGAGATTCTATATGAGTGCTGGTTCTAGTCCCAGCAGCCCAGCTTCCCATCCAGCTCCCTGCTTGTGGCTTGGGAAAGTAGTCAAGGCTGGCCCAAAGCCTTGGGACCCTGAACCTGTGTGGGAGACACGGAAGAGGCTCCAGGCTCCTGGCTTCGGATTGGCTCAGCTCTGGCCGTTGTGTCCACCTGGGGAGTGAATCAATGGATGGAAGATCTTTCTGTATATCTGACGTTCCAATAAAAATAAAATAAATCTTTTTTAAGTTGGGTCAAACACTTACAGAGATGACTGAAATCATGAAAGTGGTCAAGGCACTGTCAAAAGGCATTCAGATTTCTAATTCTACTATTTCCCTACCTGAAGCAATTTCATGGAAAGTAAAATCTTAGAGGCTGCATAAACAGAATGGATTCTAGCATGTACTGCTGAGATGAACAATGCTCATATAAAAAAGGCAACAATTGTTTTTCATGCTCAATGAGAGTATTCATATCTGAATTCTCACAGCACATTTGCCAACATTTTTACCTAAGTATGATTTACTGTCGAGCATGTTCTTTGCCTTTTATAAAAAAACTAAAGAAGAATCAAGCATTCAAAGATGTTCATGATATAGTTAACAGAAAAAAAAAACAAGCGAAAAGTTCATTATTAGGGGCTGATTCAGCACAGCAGTTGAAATGCAGTTGCGCATGCCTGCACTGCAGTGCCTGGGTTTCAGTCGAGGATCTCTTTAAAAAATAAGTTTTTGAGTATGTATATACACATAAGCATGTATATATACACACATATGAAAAAATCAAAAGGACAGCCATTATTGATATGTTGACATTCATCTCTGAGTAGTAGGAAGTAAACTAGCTTCTGTGTTTTCCTTTTTTCTTGGCTGATTGTAGTTTTCCAAATGACTAATTAGAATGTCCTATTGAAGGGTGGTGTTGTTGTAGTCATATGTGATCAGTACTATTTGCAGAATGATCCACAAAGTTACATTCCTGTTTGAGTTCAGTTCCTGTAAAAATGTAGATCAGTATATATATTTGTCAAAGAATCCAAATTACTAGCTACTTGTGCATTTTTCTTGCTCTGTATAAGTTAAGCTTTGATTAAAATTAGAGGTAGATAAGCCCAGCTACAACTGAAGCAAGACTAAAACCAGAGTAGGCACTAAATGGGCTATTCTCACTGTAACTTCAATTGTTTTTTTTTTTTTAAGATTTACTTTTATTATTTTTTCATTGGAAAGGCGGATATACAGAGAGGAGGAGAGACAGAGAGGAAGATCTTCTGTCCGATGATTCACTCCCCAAGTGAGCGCAACGGCCAATGCTATGCCGATCCGAAGCCAGGAGCCTCTTCTGGGTCTCCCACGTGGGCACAGGGTCCCAAAGCTTTGGGCCGTCCTCGACTGCTTTCCCAGGCCACAGGCAGGGAGCTGGATGGGAAGCGGGGCTGCCGGGATTAGAACCGGCGCGCATATGGGATCCCGGGCTTGTGAGGCAAGGACCTTAAGCACTTGCACCACCATGCCGGGCCCTGTAACTTCAATTGTTACAACTCACTGACAACAGGGTAGTAGTTACTAAACAATAAAGCATGGTATTGGGAAGGAAACACAAATCCAAATTTACTTAAAGGCTAAAAAAATATAACCTTAGGGAAGTTGATCACCAAAGTGGCAAACAAAGTCTAAATTTGAATATAAGGCAGGGTCAGCTTTGCGACACATTACGTAAAGCTATCACTTGTGATGCCAGCATCCCATATTGGCTGGATCCCCAGTTGCTCCACTTTCAATCCAGCTCCCTGCTAACATGCCTGGAAGGCAGCAGGTGGTGGCCCAGAGACTTGGGCTCCTGCTACCTATACAGAAAACCCAGATAAAGTTATCAACTTCCGGCTTCGGCCTGGTCCAGCCCCAGCCACTGTAACCATTCTCTCATTCTCATTCCTTCTCTCTCTCTCTCCTCCTTTCAAATAAATAAATCTTTAAAAATATAAAAATAAGGCAAAGTCTCTCTTAAATGATCATCATGTTCGTATTGCCATATTCATATTCACATTCCCATATTCATGTCAAAGCTATTATCTACCATAATTTTGGAGTCTGAATTCAAAACTTTAAAATTGTTAATAAAATCTTTAAAAAAAAAAACAATGTTAATACAAATGAAAACCTTGAGGTTTTGAAAAGATTTGCTGGTAAAATTAACATGCTAAACTGGGATTCTCAGGGTACTAAATTGTTGGTGTCACCTGGCATGACTAAAGAAAGTCATATTGTATAATTTTCTACAATGCCACAGATATGTATAGATAGTAATAATTTGGAAACGAAGTCCTACTACAACTTATAAAACATTCAGGGCCCTGTAGTAATAAAAGTTAAAAGTACGAGAGGGTGCCACTGACTATGCAAAATACAGACTTTGTTCTTGTAACAAAGGGCAATGTTAACCAAACGGATGTTTATTACCTTCTACTTTAGATTGCCTTTCTAAAGGCTAAAATTCAATTTTCAGGTGCACTAGAACACAAAACTTAACTAGAAGAAAGGATTTAGGATGGTTTCATCATAAAAAGATGTTAAATGGCTGAAGACAGCCATTACACAGTGTATATATGCATCAAAACATCACATAGCACCCCATGAATAAGCATAATTTTTACGTATCAGTTAAAGGGAAAGGAGGAACATGAAAGTAGAAGTACAGTGCTCTGACTGGAGCTGTGGAGGTACATTCTAGGCAAGATAATCAGTAAAGATCTAAAAAAAAAAAAAGTATTGTTTCAGGAATGGATAAAAGAAAGGGGGTGATTAGAAGAGAAACAGAATCATAGAATGGTGTTCCAAATATGTAACAAGACGAAAGACTATCTTCATAGTGGAGAAGCCTGGAAGAATGACACCTTAATCCCAGGACCAAAAGGAACATTAGCAATAATGGAGTAAGTCAAATCCATGCACTGTCTGATACGATCCAAAGAGAAAACCATAGCTTCCCTCCTGCCAGAAGAGGCACAACCCGAATCCCATCAGAATCATCACATAAACTAAAGAAATTGTTTACAAAATAATTGGCTATAATCTTCTGAAGTGTGAAGATTATCAAAGAAAAAAAAAAAAGAGAGAGAGAGGAAAAACCACTGTAGAACGGCTCTTTGAAACAGCACAGCTAAATAGAACATGAGTCTGAACCATGGCTTAGAAAGCTGATGGAAATAGAGATGAAATTTGCTTCGCTGTGATGCTAACTTATCCCTTGAGACAAACCAAAAGCATCTTCCTGGAAATACCTATTCGTATGTTTTTTTTTCCCCACTTTTGCTATGCTACTCTGTAGGAAATCTGAGTTACTTCTACAGCAAGACTGACTGTATTGTATATTTTTAATAGTTAAACATTTAAAACTTAAAAAATCGATGCTGTGGCTCAGGGCATATTGAACGGTTTAACAATTTTTTAAATATTAAAGTAACAATCTCAAATGTATGGAAATGTAGCAAGAACACCACAAAGAACTGTCTTTTTCCTTAACCATTTTTAGAGGAGATACTGACTTGAGAGTCCTGGAAGCCTTTAGTATTTCATGTGTACAGAGAGGGATTTTTTTTTTTCCCCTAAATTACCAAACTAAAAGCATTGGACTCTTGACACTCACATGGCTCTGTTACAAGCATCTAAGCCTCAAACCCCATTCCGGCTTAGCCAGTTTTCCTGAACGTGTCCTTCACTGCAAAAGGACATGGTTCAGACTCAAATGTTAGATGTGTCTAATTGTTTTGGAATGCCAGCTCTTCCGAAGCAGACGTTCCTCCAAGAGAAGTAGGACATGTCAAACTAGGGGCTACCTGTTAGAAAGGGGCACTTTGCACATCATCTAGTTGAACACCCCAGGTAAAGAAATTGCCTCCTAGCAATATCCCTATTTTGTGAACTTCAAGTGTCTGCTTTTGTCCTTCAGGAACTCTGAATCACACGGTGGGTTTGGTTGACATCTGAGAGTTGGTAGCTGATATTTGCCATCAGACACATCTAACAGGCACTAGGCCTTTCTTTAGAACCGCACTCTTAGTCAGTCAAACTATGAAAGCCTTCCCTTCTGCAACAGAGATTAGTTACCAGCTAGAGTAGGGACCTTTAGGAAAGCTGCTTGCTCCATTTAAAAGCATTCTACTCAGCACTGGAAAGCTATCTCCAGGGGGCTCTATTCTGTGAAATTCGTCCCAGCTCAAGTAAGCAGTTAGTTGTGTCCTTTTTATTTGCTATGCTACTTTAGGGGAAATGTAACTTACTTCTACAGCAAGACTGTATTGTAATTTTTACCATTTCAAACTTATTTTCTTAAAGATACGTGTGAACAATTTCTAAAACCTTTTCTGTATTCCACGTTACTTTTCTATTCACAAACCCACACTTCCTATTCAGTGGACTTGAATCGTTCAAGGCCTGGGAGTGATATTTATCTATGTCTGAGTAAATAATACTGAATACTGAGGGCAGAATTCCAAGTAAGTGGGCACCGACCACAGGGCATGCAATCTAATGAGGTTCCAGGACAGACGAATGTAAATCCAAAACGAACAGAACTAAAAAAGAAAAAGGAAGGACAAAAAGAAAAAGCAAATCGTCTAGAAGGAGCTTCAGGGGGACACAGAGTTCCAGCAAATGTTACTGAGGACAAACCTTTGAGATCACATCAGCGTTTCAGAAGATGTGATCAGGCTGTGCGTCTTTTGTCCCTGTATTTTCAGCACCCAATCACCATTCCTGCTGGCACATAGGAGATGCTCAAGAAAACATTAGATGAATTAAACAGCCTCACCTTTAAATATGCCTCTTATGAGTGGGGCGACTGCTGTATTGAAAACCTCTTCCTGTTCAGTAGATGGGTCAAACACAAAATCGTAGGTAAAGGATTTATCGGTACCAACCACCACCTAAGAGAGGGCAAGGAACAAGGCATAAGAAAAAGAGAAAGGCTAGAACACGCCCCTCATTGCCTTTTTGGCCCCAGCTGTTCCGAGATAGGTGGTGGGCTCGGTTACGCACCTGCGGCTCTCCGGGCACGAAGGAAAGGCACATCTGGCAGCCCTCGCTTATCTCTTTGGGGACCAGAGGGCGGCAGCGCAGTGCCACTCGTACCGGAATGCCTTTCACCTCTTCTTTCATGATCCTACCTCGGCACAGTCTCTAAGTGGGTAATAAGAGGGAGCTTGCCGATGAATTTTGGTAGCCCGACTGGTCGTCCTCCTGAGAGCCTGCGGAAAGTGCGGAGGGTTCCGGAACTCTGCAGTAGTGATGGTAGCTTTCCCGGGAAACCGGCTCGCTGCCTCCGGAGGTTCACTCGTCCTGCCACGATGGACAGCCAGTCCACACTGCAGAGTCAAATGGCGTCTGAAGTGGGGGGCGGGGGGAACTTCCAGGGAGACGGTGACGAAAAGCCACAGCCCCAATGTACCAGACCAGGGAGAGTCCGAGCTAAGATGCGCCCCCACTCCCTTAACTCACCAAACTAAAGGTCCCTTTCCCGGTCTTTCCTGGCTTCCCCCGTCTCCCGCAGCCCTTTCCTAAACGGAGCTTTAACCGCCAAGTTTCAAATCAACTCCCGAGGCGCCAGCCAATCGGAACACCCACAGCCTGAGGGCGGAGCAAGCGCGTCTGCGCGCACTGATGCCGCGCTGGGAAGAGAGAGGAAGCCGCGCCCCTTCTCGACCCCGGCACTCGGCCGAATATCCGCTTCCGGTTCCCAGGCTTCACCGGCGGTACCCCAGCCTGGAGGTGGTGCGTCTGGCCCACTGGTAAGGCGGTTCGGCGTTTACGCTGTCTTGACAGCGGGCCTCAGGTTGGATGCGGGGCGGGAATGTAGAAAATGTGCTGGTGGAGAAAATGGGTCCCCACGATGTGGTGGGGAAGATAAACTAATTGCATCCAGGAAGTGCAGGGCGGGGCTTGACTCCCGAGACCCTGGAGCAAGATGGAGTTAGCTTCCCTTGGGACTTCCAGATCAGGTTTTTTTTACGAAAAAAAAGTTGTTGTTTTTAAGTCTTAGTTTAAAGAAACTAAAACAAGAGGCATGGAGTGGGATTGAGGAAATGAAATGTAGTTAACTTCATAAAATTGTACCTGTGATATACATAAAATCTGCTTAGGTTCATAAACACATTTTTTAAATTCAAAAAAAGGATTGTTTTATACACGACCCCAGTTTTCCTTTTCTCTACGATGGAGACGTGGAAAATGAAGTCGTCTCCAGAATACCTAGCAGATTGCTTGGCATCCAGAACCTGTTTAGCAAAGGAACTTGTTTTCTTCGGTCCTACAGCTTAACACATAGATGTGGGCTGGGCCCATACACTGACAGCCTGGCAGTGGGTTGGACCTGCTTTGTAAAACTCCCTTGACTGTGGTGCAGTTCTTTGGATCTGACCTTCCCTTCCATTCCAGGGCCTCCCCAGAGATGGACAGTCGCATCCCTTACGATGACTACCCGGTGGTTTTCCTGCCTGCTTATGAGAATCCCCCAGCGTGGATCCCACCTCATGAGGTGGGAATGATTTGTATTCTTTTTTCTTTTAATTGATTTACTTTTATTGGAAAAGTAGATATACAGAGAGGAGAGAAAGATCTTCCACCCACTGGTTCACTTCCCAAGTGACCTCACCCGGCCAGAGCTAAGCTGATCTGAAGCCAGGAGCCAGAAGCCAGAAGCATCTTCCAGGTCTCCTACGCGGGTGCAGGGTCCCAAGGCTTTGGGCCATCCTCTATTGCTTTCCCAGGCCACAAGCAGGGGGCTGGATGGAAAGTAGGGCTGCTGGATTTAGAACCGGCACATTGGATCCCGGTGCATACAAGGCAAGCACTTTAGTCACCGGGCTATCGCACCAGGCCCCTGTTTGTATTCTTGCCTATGCTAATCCTCCCCCGACGTTCCCCTCCCCAGGTGTGAGACGATGGTGAAAGGTAGCATGCTAGAGTTAGAAAGATCAGTGTTAATCTGGATTCACTGTTTATGAAGCTTCCTACCATGGTCCGTTCATACCAGAGTTCTAGTTCCCTTTGGCGTTCTGGATAAAGGCAGAAGGTGAGAAGTCTAAAATGGATAGTAAGATTTCTGGAATTGCTATTACTATGTTGCAGAGAGTGTACCACCCAGATTACAACAATGAACTGACCCAGTTTCTGCCCCGAATTGTCACACTGAAGAAACCTCCTGGAGCTCAGGTGAGCTGCTAAGAGCCCCATTCTCTTGCCAAGCGAGATCCGTCCATGTTGGAAGTTGGTCATGTTTAAGAAGGATGGATTGGGAAATTGAAGAGATATTTTGCTTCTTACCTGCAAAGCTAAGCTTTCGCTTTTACGATTGACTTCCTGCTTAGGGTTACACTAACTCGATGTTCCTATGTCTGTATTCTGTATTGAGTACCTCTTCTGGGCTCTTGTCTTACAGTTGGGGTTTAATATCCGAGGAGGAAAAGCCTCACAGCTAGGCATCTTCATCTCCAAGGTACGTGTGCCCATAAGCAGATAGCTAACTTGGTTTTGTTAATTAACCAGCTTACATCCGATGTCCCAAAGACTGAAAAAAAAAAAAGATGATTTGTCTTCCAGAAAAGGGGTATGATGAGGGCACCTCTTTCCACTTAAAAGTTCTTGTTTGATAAGCCATCTGTCGAGTTGTCAGAAAATTAACAGCACATTGCATTTGGATGACCCTGGCTCCCTTACAGTCTTCTGGTCTACCTTTATCCCAGGCACACATGTTCTCTTCCCCAACAGGTAATTCCTGACTCTGATGCACATCGAGCTGGACTTCAGGAAGGCGACCAAGTACTGGCTGTGAATGATGTGGATTTCCAAGATATTGAGCATAGCAAGGTGAGCACAACACCTGGGCTGTGGTGATAGCAAGGGATCATCCTAGGTAGGACAAGTCCTGCAAGCCTCACCCAATGTGTAACTTGACAAGGAAGTGTCTTTCCTGGAGTAGTGTACCAGAGGAAAGCAGCTGTTAGTGACCCGGAATGCGGGATAGTTTTGTCCTCATTTGTATAAGCTGTTGTGTTCCTTCCAGGCTGTTGAGATACTGAAGACAGCCCGTGAAATCAGCATGCGTGTCCGCTTCTTTCCCTATAGTAAGTTTCACCCTTTTTTTGACTTTTTTTTTTTCTACTTTAAGATTCAGCTAGAAAAGAGAACTGTCATGGTGGTTTGGTCCCTAAATTTCCATAGTGGCCCCAGGCAGTGGGCTGAGGCAAGGATCCCAGAACACAACCCAGAATTTCCATGTGGGTAGTAGAAACCCAATTAGTTAAGCTGCCACCATTACCTGCCAAGGTTTGCCTTAGCAGAAAGCTGGAATTGAAACTCGAATCCAAGCGCTCTAATGTGGGATGTAGGCATCTTGGACAATGTTTTAACCACTAGGCCCAATGCCATACTCCCAGTTTTTTCATTACGTGGCAGCGCCCTAGGTACAAAATGCTTATGTACCAATGGCTAGAGGTCCCTCAAGTTTGGGGTGAGGAATTGGGAGCTCAGGCCTGTGAATAACCATCTCTCTTCCTCTGATTTTCTTTTTATAGATTATCATCGCCAAAAAGAGAGGACTGTACATTAGAGATTTGCATCCCAGAACCCTCCATGTATAATCTGCCAGGATAAGCTGGCCAGGTCCAAAGGAAGCCACTTGAGACATTCTCTCAATCTCTCCCTAACATAGTGGAGTGGGAACATCCGGGCAGCTAGCCAACTATGTCACCCAAACCATATTGTACTTTCAGTTCCCTAGTTTGCTAGGTGAGCTTCATTCCCTGAATGGGAAATGGTGATGGTGTTTTATACAACCTAGCCTGAGGGGAACCCCGCTGGCAAAGGCAACTGACGTTTTTATTGGATACCATGTACTAGGACTTACCCATGTCCTATCATTTTAATTATAGAAATCATTAGAAAAAGAATCTTGGGGACCTTCCATCTGATTTGCCTAGGCATCTCATCCTCTCCTTGTATTGCCAGAGGTCTCATACACTTGAAGGACTCATGAGATGCCTGCCCCTTCCTCTTCCTGTTCTCGCAAGCCAAAAAAAAAAAAAAAAAAAAAAAGTAAAGCACAATGCTGAAGAAATGTTGGTATGATTTTTGAATATTACTTATTGGATGTTAGATGCTATTGGGGAGAAAAAATATATATATATTCTAAAGAGCCACTGGAAGAAACAGCAATACTAATACCTATGTCACAATTGTCTGGCCAGAATATTAGGCCCAGGGACTTTCACCGCAGCACAACCAAGTTAGAGCATAGAATGGAGGGTCCTGGAGGGAACAGTGCTTTGTCCCCTCAGCTTTGGACGTTTCTCTGCACAGGATGATAGTAATCCTCTCCCCTTACCCAGAGTCTTTGATCTAGAATAGAAGCCAAAGGAGGGCCTTAAATGATTTCCTTCTCAGAGACAGCAGTAAGGAATTGATTCTCAGCCTCTTAATTTGTAGGCCGAGTTGTGTTAACTGCTAGCTTCCAATCCTTTGCTTCCCTCAAACCCTGAATAACCTCTTCCCATGTTCTTAGACCTTATGTTCCAGACGCATTGTTGGTGTTCCCCTGCTCACATTCCTCCCAGCTCCTTTGGCAAGTTCAGGATGCCTATTCAGAATTGAAATTTTTCTAGGGAGCTGTATGAGGTGAACTGTCCTTAGGATGAAAGGAGCAAAAATCGCCGTGAAAGGATTTGGGGAACTTAAATAATTTCTCTTAGGTCTCTACAATGGAATGTGATTCTATTGGTCTGATGTAGAACCTGGAAATATGAATTTTTAAATAAAGAAGTCTTCAAATACAAGAAAACATGTTCAATAGTAATAATGCATCTCAATGGGGAATTGCTGTCTTTCTGTATACCCCACCTCAGTTCTAACAGAGGCTCTGCCATTGTTAGGGAGCAGCATCCCTTGTGAACAGAGCTGGAGGCAGAATCAGTTCAGCTGTCTCTAAGCTTCCTGGGAAATCCATGCTATGCTCTGCTTTGCTTTCCTGCTCCCCATCCCCTCAATGGCCACCTGAGAAAGAAAACAGGCTCAGATACTTTCAGAAAAACAAATTGGCCAAGTCATCTCTCTCTTCGGTTAATGGGGTTTAAAACAACTCACCTAAAAGAAATACGGTCAATGTGGTACAAAGAAAAGTCATTTTCACGTGCTAAGGATATAAGACAGAATCCCTCCTCTGCCTCAGGTTCTTTCTCAATTTTGCGTGGTTTTGTAGAGAAGTAACAGCACGAGGCAGTTGTGAGGGTAGAAGTCTGGAGAAAGCACAGGCAGTAGTGGGCTGAGGTGTAAGTAGCAGTCATTTGTTGAGGGTAGAGATAAGGAAGTAGTGGGGAGTAAGTTGAGTTGGCTTTTGAGGTAGCTCAGCTGTAGAATAGCATCCCCTACAGATACCTTTTAGCTGTCAGAGAAAGGTGGAATTCCTAGGTACTGCAAGAAGCTTCTACCCAATAGCTGTGAGATGCAGTCAAGAAGAAAAGCACTTTGAGGCGTTGCACTTCACTCCTAAATCTGGGAATTGGCCAAGGGCTTAAACCTGGGAGGCACAGAGTATGGGATGGAACACCCACATTGCAATCAATGCAGCAAATTGGGCAAAGATAGACTAAACTAGGAACAGAACAGTGGTTTTTGATGCCCAGCTCCTTGAAGGGCTCCGGTTTGATTTTTTTTTTTTTTTTTCAGTTGGATTTCAACCATTGAAGTGCATGTTGAAGTAATAGAGTAGAGTGGGGAGCTAAATCTTGACTTCCAGAAGAATTTTGATCTCAATGATACCATGGAGCTTCTTGGGGTTAAATTTGGTCCCATTTTCCTTCAAGTACCACTCGGACAAAAAAAAAAATTGACCTGGTCATCAGCTTGGCAAAGGAAACCTGCCTTCTCTGCTAGTACCCTCCTACCTCAGCAAAGCTGGTAGAAAGGCTGTTCCCCTCGACCTTCCATGGAGGCTAGGTATTCCTAGAGGGAAGGGCAGAAACTATGTGATAGATTAACTCTGTGTGTGTGTGTGTGTTTAAAGGTGAAGTTTAAAGGCTAAGATGGTTCTGGGCCTCACACCCCATGGTACGACAAGCTGAAGTTACCCAAAAGAATAGCTGGTGTTGGGAAGATAACAGGGTACCATGGAAAGAGAAATGAGCATTGCATTTTTCATGTAACTAATTATAGCACTGGTCTTAAGAAACATCTGTTGAGGTGGCTGGGTTTTTTTTTTTTTTTTTTTTTTCCTTCGTCCTCTTCTGCAGAACTTGTCTGGACAAGTTAGAAATGATGAAAGGGACCAGAGAATGGAAACACAGTTACCTGGGATCTCTGAGGTCTAACAATACTATGCTAGAGCCAGGAGCCCTAGAAACCTTGAACATAAACTTCAATAAAATATTACTTAGCACCAACTTATGATGTCCTGCACAACGACTGAATCCAGGAGCTGCAGCCAAAGCTGTATAAAACAAATGTTCAAGAGGAACACAGGGAAAGGTAGAACCCAATAGAGAAAACTTTAAAAAGCAGACGAGTTCCCTGAAAAGTGGCCAAGATGGGCTCAAACCAAGGGGCCTATTTTTCCAGGACGGGTCGAGTCAATCTTGCTGTACTATTCGGGTTAATTAATGAATATCCTAGAAATACCCTAGAAAACAGCATGTTCAGGGATTCAAGGGCTCTTGAACTTTAACAGGAAACATCTTGACCAAGAAACATCATGGTATTTAGTAATTTGGAAAAGCTTCAGGTTCTCTCTCTCTCTTTTTTTTAATGTTTATTATTTGAAAAAGGAAAAAAAAAAAAAGATTGATGCACTGGTTCCAGCAAATGCTCACAATAGCCAGGCTGGGCCAAACTAAAGCCAAGAACCCAGAACTCCGTCTGAGTCTCCCACATGTATAGCAAGGACCCAATAATTTGGGCTGTCATCTGCTGCCTCCTAGGATGCATTAGCAGGAAGCCGGATTAGAAGCTGAGGAACCAGGATCTAAACACTGGTACTCCAGTATAGGTTGTGGGTTTCTTATGCAATAGCTTAACCAGATGCATCACATCACCTGCCCCAAATGGGCTTTTACTTCCTTTTGTTTTCCCACAGATAATGTGGGATGGTGCTACCCTACTGTGCTGAATAGGTCTAAGGAATTGAGACCCAGGGTTCATAAGTGCCATGAGCGTGCACTCTCATTATTCAGCTCTCTAAGTGCATGGTGTTAGATGAGCTGTCACTCCCAATAGTTGCCTGCGTTAAAGACACTCACCAAACCCTGCCTCTCTGCCCCCAGTTCCAGACAGTCTTAGAGCCAGAGAGAATGAGCCTTGAGGTGGTTCTGATTCAACTTCTCAATGCTTATAGTTGATAACTTTGGGGAAGAAATGCCCTTCCCCCCTGCCCCTGGTGCAGTGAGAGCCAACATTGGCTCACCTGACAGGCACAATGGAAGCTGTCCTGTGTGAGTTGGTTGATAAATGATGGCCAATCATCACCCTGGTGCCCTATTTTTTCACTGTGTGTCTCTGAGTTTCCCCTACTTATATGCTTTACACACTTTTACATGCAAAAGTTTCCCAAGAGAAAGAGCTAGATTCCCCAGAGAGCCCACCACCTCCCACCTTCCCTTTCATATTTTCCCCAAAGTCCAACCCAGGCCCACTGAACCTGTTTCTTGGGGGCCTCTGCGTTCTTCCCTACTGCAGATGGGGGGTGGGAGGAAGCTCTTGCATCTTGTACTCAGCCCAGTGGGGTGACTACCAGTGGTTGGGAGATAAGGTATGGGCAGGGGTAGCCAGGACTTGAAAATTTAAGAACCTCGGGAGGTGAGTGACTGTCAGAAGGAAAGGTGGGGAGGGGAACCTGTGTAGGGGCAAAGCACAGGTTAAGGGGGCAATACCCTCCGGGCGGTGAAATTTTGCAAAGAAAGCACCTGGCACTTGGGACTGGTCGGTTTATTAGCATTATAGTGGAGGCTCTCAGGGACACCATAGCCAGTGTGGCTCAGCTCCTTTGTTCTCCCCCCACTGCCAAATTCTGGCTTTCCTCCTCGCCGGGCTCCTGCTGTGCAAACTCCTCGAAGACTATGTCCTCAGAACTTGCAAAAGCCACAGAGGAAAACACAAGGTTAGGAATTGCTTTCCCAGCGCCCTCCACAGTCACTCATTCTTCCAATCCATAATCCCCAGCCCAGCCAATCGGTCCATCTCAGTGGTTTACTTCCTCTACCACTGTCCCAAGCCTCTGTGGACCATGCTGCCTCCTCTACTTTTATTCCCTCCTGAAATCTCCCAACACAAAGGTTCCCCAGGCACACTGGAAGGCAAGAAGAATGGTAGTTGCGGCGGAGAGAGGACATGGAAGAACGGAAGGCAGGAGGAGTAAGGGTGAGGAGGGCAGGGGAGAAAGAAAAAAGGAAAGTAGAAGGGATTGAGGGGGGAAGCAGGGTACTGAGGAGAGCAGGGGTGGAAGGAGGGCACATGAAAAGCACTGAATTGCAGTATGAAGTGAAAGCTTGTTTTCACTGCACACATATTGAAAGCGACACCCAGGGAAGCCGTTTTACATCCCCCAGCATCAGAAAATGGGGGGAGGAAAGCGGGACTTCCAGGCTTCTCTTTCCATTACCTAGCAGCCTCTGTTGCAAGCATGGAGAAGAAGCAAAAAAATGCAGCCTAAGTTAGTAAAGGGCTCTCCAGGTTCCTGAAGAAATTTCTTTGCTCCTCCCCCTCCCCCTTTCCATCCTTTGGCCTGGCCTCCTGTGCTTGCTCCCCCAGAAAACCTAGACACTCCTACCTTCCTGTGGTTTTTCCACTTCTACCCAAATTACCAAGTTTCAAATTCATGAGATCAGAATTGTTTGCTCCCCAACCTTCAGAACTGCTGCTTCTATGAGACCCACTTGGTCACTCACTGTGTGATGGCTTTGGATGGCTCAGGATCAAAGGCAGCTCCACAGCAACATCACTGCAAGAGTTCCGAGGTGGAGCTACTGAGCTTCCTGCAAGCCCAATCCCTGAACCCACTTCCCTGGGCTTTCCAGACGTAGGGTGGCCTCAGACTAGCCATGGTCATTCTTGTGGCCTCCTTATTCCTTCATTCTCCTCTTCTATTCCAATCTACCCAGCCCACCCTGTAGACTCTCACCTGGCTGTCAGATCGCCTAGGATGCTGTGGGTAGAATGATACTGAAAATTAACTGCAGGAAATGGGGAGGGGACAGCTTCTTTGTACTGGGAGATGAGGGATCCTAAGGGTAATTCAGACACAGAATGGATTTCTGGAAGGGTAGTTGACTTGTTCACTGTGCTCACAGGTTTGGGAACCTGGTCTGGGAGACAGGGAACAGCTTGATTGGATCAATCCAACTGGGAGAAGGATTGAAGTGACTAATCCTTTGACTTCCCAGCCCCTGCCCAGACAGATCCAGAATACTCACTCACCCCCCATAGGACACCATCAGGCTGACTCTGACTTTGTAGGACACCAGGATCCCCAGCAGCTCCTTGTTCACTCCAGGTCGAAGACTGAGAGCGATAATATTCATTTATAGGTGCTTTGTGTGTTCATGGTGTAATCCCTTTAATTCTCCCATTTCCTTCCTGTGTGTTCCCATCACCATACACTGGTTTCTTTCATCAAGAACCTCCTAGAAAATCTATTCTCTAACCCATGCCACCCATCAAGGCCATATTTGTCTTCCAAATGTTTAGTTACATTGGACTGCTCTCTGCTTAAAAGCCCACTTTATTGAGTACATGACTCTGCCTGACTTTTCCAGGCCATCAACAGTCTGCTCCATTTAGCCTTTATTTCCGTTCTAACTCCCTAACACCTGGGATACAGCCAATGTAGATCCAGCCTCTCTGTGTGCTCAGAACATGCAGTGGCTCCCCACCTTCTAGCCTCTGCCCATGCTGTACTCCCAGTTTGGAACATTCCTTTCCTTCTCTGTTGGTCTCCAGATCTTCGAGATCTAGCTCATTCTATCTCCTTCAGGAAGCCCTCAACCAACCCTGCTGATTTCTTTGAACTTCTAATGGATTTATAATCTGAATCATCTGTACTAACATTCAACTGTTCTTTTATGTTTGCATTTCTTTTTGTTCCTCATTTAGGCCATAATTGCCTGAGAGGCGAGACTGTCTTAAAGGTCCTTTGCATCCTCCACATTGCTTAGCATTAGAATGAGTGCTCAGGTGCTCAATAAAAGCCTGCTCATTGAAAAGTCAGACATTGGAAACTGAACAATCACAGAAAATTCTCTTCATTGCCCTGGGCTGCTGATCCCCTAAGTATTAAAAAATACTTTCTGGATGAGTTCTGAAAGTTTTTCCAGTGATAAAAGTCTGTGATTACTTGATTGATAAAGCACAGGGAGAGGCAAAGGCATCAAGGCTTGTCAGATGGCAGCAGGCAGCTTTTGGTAGGAGATATCTAAACATCTAGAGACTATGAGGGCATAAGACCAAAGCAATGACAGTTCCTTCATTTCTCATCACCTAGTCTTCCACTCCATTTCTATCATCTCTAAAGAATAGTGTTTATAGAGACCACAGTGTCACATCTAGATAATGTGTGATACACTCTTGTCCACCTCTACCACTCTGAGCCTCTGAGTTCTTATGGGTAAACTGGAATAAGAACACCTATCCTGCCTACTTGAATGGGATTCCTACAGAGGCAACATGGCACATTTGTTTAGGAACTGTGAACTTTTATACAGGCTAAGACTTTTTCCTCCCTCATTTTTTCTTCTTGCTGCCTAGGACCTAAACCTGTCCTTGGTCCCATGATATTATTTCGCTTGCTGCTGGCCCTCAGGTCTGGAGAGCTCATTGAATGTTGACTTAAAGGCCATTTAAAACTAGGTAGACTTCACAGCAGATGAAGCCTCTAAGCTATGCATAGACTAGGTTAAAGGTAGGAAATGGAAAACTGAGGTTACATTTGAGCTTACATTGTGCTGGAGGCTAGATTGGTATCTTCATGCTTGAGTTTGCCGTCCAATGCCAGACCCTGTTTCTGGCAGTTGTTAGCTAGGAGTGGGGTTACTGCAAAACTCTGGGTAAAGCTGGAGTTAGCAGCTATGGTCTCCCTTTGAAAGGATAACAAGAGAAGAACTCAGGCTCTGCTTGACAGCCAAGTGACCTTCCACTCCCGACAGGATCTGGCAGAATCCCAAGAGCCTAGAGGAGTGTCCATGAGTGGTCTGTCTAGCAGTGAGGAAGAGGAACCAGCTCCAGGGAGAGGTCCTCAAACCCCTTCTTCCCTCATAGTGCTGTGACATTCCTCCTGTGGGGAAGTCATAGCCCCTCCCACTCATCCTCCTGGAAACTCCGCCCTTTCTCTGCTTCAGCCTTCACCTCCCCACCCTTTCCTTCACTCAGGCCATTTGCACCCTTTCTTTTTTCCTCAGCCCCCTCCTCTGCCTGCTGGTACTTTTCTCAACATCCCACCACTTGCTCTGTGACCCCAGCCCCAGCAGCAGCTCACGTGAACTCTTGAATGAACACAGTCTTGGTGTACTTGTCTAGGGAATACAGGACAACATCTGTAATCTGGTCCACTAAAGAAGCAGGGAAAGCACATGACTAGAATCAGTCAGTCATCTTCCAGATCCCAATGCACTTCCTCAGATGGGACCTTACAAGGGCACGCTCTACGTGATGCAGTAAGATGTGCACATTGGCCAAGAGCTTGGCTGCTTTCATCAGCCCATTTTAAAGGGAAAGCCATGGTGAATGCAGATGGCTAAAGGGGCAAAGACACAGAAACAGACCTGTGACTTTGAAGGCATGTGTAGGAAGATAGGAAAAGAAGCTCACCTGAAATCTTGATTTTTTTAATGACCTTGCTGGTGCAGTTGTTGATCGAAACATTGACAGGGATGGGTTCGCCATGGTAGTGAACCTGAAGTAGGAGGAGAGGCCCAGTGCAAAGTTGAAGGAAAAACACCCAGATGAAAACCTAGTGTTCTCAACACCACTGCTGCCCTAAAGTAGGAAAGCAGTAGAGAAGGGATATTGGAAGGAGGGACTTGTGGGGAGGGGGACAGGAAGTGTGGGGGCAGGTGTCACAAACCTCCTTGTCCATCCAGGCCTGCAGTTGTAGTGGTTGAGCCGACAGGAGGAAACGACGGGTGGTCTCAGCCCGGGGCCCGGGGCCTGGCTCCAGGGGTGCAAACTGTACTTTCCGGACAACCAATCGCACAGAGTTTCTGAGTGCCAGGGAATTAGCCAGAACATCTTCTTTGGGATCCACAGACCTCTCCTATGCCACCCCCATAGTCCAGGTTTTGCTTCTGAGTAGGGGAGGGGGACGGCCTCCCTCCCAGAATGCCTCTGGGGCCTTATTGTAGCTGCCTAAACCAAGGGTCAGCAAGCTAGGCCTCCCTGGCCAGATCTGGCTTGTTGTCTTTTTATGTATGGCTTATAAGCTAGTGATTACATTTGTAAATGGTTGAAATAAATCAAAGAACAGTAATGTTTCATGACACATGCATATTATATAAAATCCAAATGTCTGTGTCCATAAATAAATTTTTATGGGAACCCAGCCAGGCTCACCCATTTCTGTACTATCTGGGATTGCTTTCCCACTGCAGTGGCAGACTTCAGTTGTTCCAACTGAGATGCAGTAGCCCACAAAACCTAAATCTTTATTTATGTTTTTGGCCCTTTATGGAGAAGTTTGCCAACCCCTGCCCTGTAGCAAAGAAGAGATGTCAGAGAAGGGACTCAAATTAGGCATCTGAGCGGGCGGCGATGGTGCTGTGGAGGTTAAAAGTAAGGCTGTTCGTGGTCTGACACCAGGATCTACTTCTGGGCAGAAGCTAGAACAAGGAATTGGGAGGGCAGGAAGGAGAGAAGCAAAGAATACCCCTTGGGGATTTTCTCCTCCAGATTTTCAGCACAGAAACTCTTCACTTCAAAGTCAATCCCACAGGCCTGTAAAAAGGTAGGGCAAAGAGAGCTCATTGCCAGTGTTGTCCCTGCTTCCCTCCTGGGCCTTTAAGAAGCATGCCTAGCCTCATTCCCTAGCTGGTCGTTCCTTTTGTCTTGCCTATTCCTCCCTGTGCTTCTTCCCTGATACCATCTGTCCAGCTCTCATTCTCAGGACCCAGACCTCACCTTTCCTGAATCCTCGGGACCTGGCTGCAGGGTCATCGAACAAGGCAGGTTGGCCACCATCTAGGGGACCAAAAGGAGGTCAGTGGACAGGAGAAACAGAGACTCCTGTCATCTGCTCTCCTTCTTGCTCTTCCCTGAAAACCATGCCGAGGACTTTGGGGTACATACTTGCAGGGTAAAGGGGTAGGCATTTTCCCCCAGCTTTTGCAGTAGTCGCTCCTGTAGGACTGTGAGGGGCACCTGGGGACTGGTGGGGTCAGCTGGAGCCACTTGCTGGACCTGTACATATAGTTCTTTGTGGAATGTCAGGCCAATCGTATCCAAGTCTTCGCGGCCATAGTGAAAGGCACAGGTCAACATGACAAACACTGCAGGCAAAGGAGGAGGAAGGGAGTTGTCAGGCCTGAGCAGGAAAGATCTGAATTGGGTCATGGAAGGACACAGAGACATGGTGTAATACCATATAAACAGTGTGACCACAAAGAAAAAAGACTAATACTCCTACATGTGACTACATGTGAAAGAACTTCAAATGGTTTGTGCTAAGTGTAATCAAAAGAAAGCACATGGCCCAGCACGATGACTCAATTGGCTAATCCTCCCCTTGCAAGCACCACGATCCCATATGGGTGTCGATTTTTGTCCCAGCTGCTCCACTTCCTGTCCAAGTCCCTGCTTATGGCCTGAGAAAGTAGCGGAGTATGGTCCAAATCCTTGGGCCCCTGTACCCACGTTGGAGACTCAGAAGAAGCTCCTAGTTTTAGATTGGCTCAGCTCTGGCCATCGCAGCCATTTGGGAACTGAACCAGTATATGGAAAATCTCTCGTCTTCCCTTCTCTATAAATCTGCTTCAAAAATAAACAAATTTAAAAAGAGATTTAGGGTCACAATAACTGGGCTTCAATAGGACTTGAGCAAATTCCTTGAGTTCTCCAGACTCTAGTTATTTGGCCTGTCCATAACAGGATGAACCTAGGATCTCTACATATGTTATCCAGACTATACAACAAACCTCTGAAATGTTTTGTTTGAGATTCATTTAGAGTTACAGAGAGAGGGAGAGAAAAACATCTTCTATCTACCGGTTCACTCCCAACATGGCTGCAAAAGTCAGGGCTAGGCCAGGCCAAAACCAGAAGTCTCATCCAGGTCTCCCATGTGGGTGGCATGGACCGAAACACTTGGACCATACTTCATTGCTTTTCCTAGGCTATTAAGTAGGGAGCTGGATTGGAAATGGAGCAGCCAGAATAGAAACTGGTATGCATGTGGGGCAGCAGCTTTAAGCACTATGTCACATGGCTGGCCCGAGTCTTTGAAGTATTATCATCCCCACTTCACAGGTAAAGTAAATGAGCCCAGAGTAGTTATGACGCAGGATTTCAATTCAGGCCTATGTGACTCCAAAGCCCAGTCTGATGACTGCTTTGAACAGCCCAATGGGATGATTGTGAGTAGTTGCTGTAGATGAAATCCTTTTGGAAGTATTTGTAGATGTGGATGCTAGTGGTGGTGGTGATGATGATGGGAATCTTGGCAAATGTGGAGAAATTATCAGTTGAATTCAGACTTAGCAGTTATTGCCTATGATTAGGGACAGATTGAAAGTCCAAAATGTACTGCTGGAGTGTGAAGCATCCATAGTCAAAGTGACAGAGACTAAGGCAGGGAAAGACATGGAACAGAGGAGAATATACCTCCATCAGGGGCCCTGACTCAAGGGAAAGGGAACTGCCAAGAGGTCTTTATTTTTGTTTGTTTTTGTTTTTTACTATTTTGAGATCCAAATATTAAATACCAATTTGACTTTTAAAAGAATGCAGAAAATGAATTTCTATATATCCCTTTCTCTGTCTCTCTGCCCTCCCCACCCCATAACTCTGCCTTTCAACTAAATTGCAAAGATAACAAAGGTTAAAAGCAATAACACTAGGGTTGTAACTAAGGACCAGGGCAACAGTCCTTATACACTGCAGGAGGGAAAGTTAATTGGTACACACTTTGGGAGAGCAAGTTGGCAACAGGTATGGGAATCATTAAAAGTGTATGAATGCCCTTTGATTGTTAATTCCTCTTCTAGGCATTTAGCCTAAGGAAATAATTGGGCAAAGATGAAAAGATGCACATACACACACAAATACAGACATGAGCACACACACACACACACACACACAAGGATGTGCTTTATAGGGTTGTTTTTATAACAGCAAAACATTGAAAACAAAAGGAATCTTCAACAAAGATTGACCAACTATATTATGGTACACCCATGTGTTAGACAACTCAAAAACTTATAGATTTGAGGGCCAGCAATGTGGCATAGCCAGTGAAGCCACCATGTATACTACTGGAATCCCAGGTGAATGTACCTGGGAAAGCAGAGGATGACAGCCTGAGTCCTTGGAACCCTGTGCCCACATAGGCCACCTGAAATAAGCTCCAGGCTCCTGGCTTTGGACCAACCCAAATTTGTCCACTGCAGCCACTTGGAGAGTGAAGCTGTGACTGGAAATTTCTGTCTGTCTGTCTGTCTCTCTCTCTGTGTATTTGTGTCTGTCCTTCCCTCTCTGTAACTCTGCCTTTAAAATAAAATTAAAAAAAAATAATAAACCTTTTAAAAAGGCTGAGTGGGTTAAGTGTAGATGTTGGCATCCTGTTTGAGCACCAGTTAGAATTGTGGTTGTTCCACTTCCAATACAATTCCTTGCTATTAGCATGGGAAACAGCAGAAGACAGCGCAAGTCCTTGGCCCCCTGCTGTGTTTGGGAGACCTGAATGGAGTTTCTGGCTCTTGGCTCTGCCCTGGCTGATTGTAGCTGTTTGGAGAGTGAGCCAGTAGATGGAAGAGTGTGTGTGTGTGTGTGTGTGTGTGTGTGTGTGTGTGTGTGTCCAGACACCCTGTTTTTCCAATACATACTTTTCTAAAAAGCTACAGATTGGGGTTGGTGTTGTGGTGTAGTGGGTAAAGCAGCCACCTGTGATGCTAGCACTTGTTGGGCCCCATGCTCCATTTTTGATCCAGCTCCCTGTTAACCTGACTGGGAAAGCAGTGGAAAGTGGCCCAAGTCCTTGAGCTGTTGCACCCACTTGGGAGACCCAGAAGAAACTCTTGGCTCCTGGCTTCAGCCTGATCTAGTCTTGGTTGCTGTAGCAATTTGGGGAATGAACCAATGAATGAATGATCATCCTTCTCTCTGTCTCTCTGCCCACCCCCATCCCATAACTCTACCTTTCATCTAAAAAGAATAAATATAAAAATATAGAAAGTTACAGACTATTACATATTTGCATAAGTTCAAAAGATTATATAATTTATAGTATAACATTTTAAAACACATACAACCACCTTACATGCTATGACTTCTCTTACTGTCTTTTTAAAGTTTTGCTTTTAATTTTGAGATTATTATAGATCCATTTGCAGTTAGATGATACAGATGGTCAAATAATTTGTTCACACCAGCATGTACTCACACAGGCTTCTTCTAAGTTCATTGAAAATTTGTGTCATGAAAAAAACCACACATGGATTTCAAATTTTTTGCACCATACTTTCATTCTGCTTTTCCATAAACTTTTTAAAAAGTTTGCTTATTTATGTATTTTTATTTGAAAGGCAGAATAGCAGAGAACGAGTGCAATCTTCCATTCACTGGTTCACTCCCCAAATGCCTGCAATAGTCAGGACTGGACCAGGTTGAAGCCAGAGCCTCAACCTTGATTCAGGTCTTCCACATACGTGGCAGGGATCCAAGTACTTGGATCATCTTCCATTGCTTTCCTAGGTGTATGAGCAGAGAGCTTGATCATAAGTAGAGGCAGGAACTCGAAGCCAAGCACTCCAACATGGGTTATAAGTGTCACAAGTGGCAGCTAAATCTGATGTGCTACAATACTTGCCTGTCCATGTACTATATTTTAAGATTGATTTATTTGACAGAGATAGAGATCTTCCATCTACTGGTTTGCTCCCCAAATGGGTGCAACAGCTGGAGCTGGTCCAGGCTGAAGTGAAGAGCCAGGAACTCCATCCAGGTCTCCTATCTTATGTACACTTTGATGTACCTTTGTATACTGCTCATCACTGGTATGTATCATTGAATGATATAGAGTAAAGCATATTTTACATCAATAAATGCACCTTGATAGAAAAACGCATTAGAAAATCCATTACAAATGAGATGATCTTCATAAAAGTAACAAAACATTTTAAATAGCTAAAAATAAACCTTGAAATATTTACAATTTAAAGGAATAATAAAACTCTACTAAGGACATAAAGATTAGAAAAAAAAAAGAAGGAAAAATACATCTTATTCCTAAATCAGTGTATGTATCTTTTAAACTGGAGATTTGTTTCATAATTTTTTTCTGAAGTTTTTGTAGGAATGTAAGAAAACATTAGAGGTTTTAGAAATATAGAGTCTTTGGAAACTTTAAAATAAGCTTGTTAATTTATGGCTATATCCATAAGTTGCTCTGATATTTACAACGGAACAGATTGCTTATTCACAGTGCTTCAGTTAAGAGATGAAAGCTGCTTTATCGCTCAATATTTGAAAGTTACCTATCTGAACTACCATTTGTCAACTTGTTCTTGAGCCTTTTCCGAATCAACCTCAATTTTCAGTCTTAGTTGGATCACAGTGGGGTTAATCCATAGTGAGAATGAAAAGGAAGAAAAAAAGAGTGAAAAATATTTCAGTGCAATCTTGATCTATAGTGCTGCTGCCAGAGTAGTGCCTCTTGCTGTTACTTCCTGTGGTGGTTGTTTTAGTTCTTTGTTTGGGGCTTTTTAATAGGAAAGGTTAGGCTGTTTCCCTACATATACCAGAGGCTGCAAAATGGCAGCATGATGATCACATCCAGCCTACAGAAAAAAACATATTTTGATCTATCCAGGCCTTTAAAATCTTTTAATGAGTTGCCTACATGTGAAAATGGGGAAATTTGCATTAAAATATGGATTTCTAATGTATTGGATCATTCCATTGGCGGACTAAGCCCATATTCAACTGAATAGCAAAGCAGGGACACCATCAACAATAATGGAGAAAACCAAAAGTTTTAGCAAGAGGCTGTTTTAACTTCAGCCCACACATAAATTTTGTGTGATTTAAAAAAAAAACAAAATTCTACTTCTACTTGGGAAATGTATTCTTTTTGAATCTTGATTGAGGAAAAGTGTCCATGGTCTTTTCAGAGTTTAGGTATCTAAAGATTGTACTCTCACCTTCATTTCTAGCTCTTCTTTAACAACCAGAATAAGTGGCCACGTTGGAGCATAATTCTCAGCTGCCAACCCCTATTAGACAAGGCATTGACACAGTCCCTGTCATTCTCTGGCTTTCTTAACCCCCCTAACCCATTCCACTCAATCAGGTTATCTGTCTGGAATGGAAGACATTTCAGTTTGGGACCTCTGAAACATACAAAGAACAACAAAGCTCTTCACTTACTCTTGCGACCTTGTAAGTAATCAGGGTCAACTAGGACTACACCATCTGTGGAAAGAGGCAGAGATGGCATCCAAGTAAGGGAAAACTCAGACTACCAAACAGAATTTGATCCCTGAACTGGTTTTCCCTATTTTCTCCTTTAATTGGCCTCCATTTTCAGCATGGTACTTTCTGTGATTTCTTCTACTTCCCAGCTCCCGTTCCCTTCTCCCCCAGGCTCCTGTGCTTTCTGGACTCACTGACCAATGGGTTCCACTGTGTCCACATGGTCCACGAAGTCCCGTTTCCCCAGGTAGATGGAGATCTGTTGTGGAACAATCTCCCCTGTTAGTTTTGCAACCATCTTTGATCAGACTCCCCTGACATCCCCAACCCAAATCCTTGAGACAAAGGAAGTACCCATCTATATCCCCTTTACCCTCTTACTTGCCCATCTGGGTAAGGTTCTCTTACCTTCCCATTGGAGCTAGTCTTCTTAAACACTCTATGGGGAGAAAACCAGAAAGATGATAGGAAGTGGTAATGGGAGAGCAGGAAAGAGAAGAGAAAGAGACAGGAAAGAGAGAGAAGTGGAGAAAAGGAAATATTCCTAGGGTGGAGCAAAGGTAGAGGTAATTGGGGTAGAGTACCAAGGCCACAAGTTAAGAAATAGTTGAAGGCTCACTCCCCACTCTCTTCCCCAAAGCAAATACTTGGGTTTGGGTGGGGAGCAATTCACAGGTTTAGAGCATGAAAATAGTTCTTACTTACTTGGTGCTCTTGGCCATGGAGTTTATGTTGAGCCTTTTCTGGGAAGATGAAAACCAGAATCAGTTTGCTGCTGTTTTCCTTCTGTACTCCAGTAAAGCATCCAGACACATACAAGAAGTGTGACAGAATGTTTCTTCCATAGTCACCTCACCACCAACAGTTGCCTTTGATTCTCCCTCCTGGCAAGGATGCTTCTCCAGCCACACTCTCACCCATGTCAAAGGGCAATGACCCTCCCTACTTTGTCCACATCATTAACTACCATACTGTCTATTCTAAAGAATGGACTGGTTTTCTGGAATAACCGGGGGATTCTCGAGATTCTGCAAAGGGAAGAAACACGTATAGAAGGGGGCTGCATGGAGTCTTCCATCCAGAAGAATGTGAGGGAAATGCGCTTCTTGGACTGGAAGAGGCTGAGGATCACCAGACAGCAAGGCATGTTTGTTGGTTACATGGGTGAGTGAACAAATGGATTCTGTCTCCTTCTGCTCTTGTAATGGATCTTGAGCCAGAGTGAACTGCATTATGACCTTGACCCTCATCTGGTAAGGTATGAGAGAGAAGGGATTGATACTCTCTTAGGGTTTAAGTTGTTGGTGGCAAAGATCTTTGTGGCAGTTGAAGCTGTGCATCCCTCTTAGCACCCTCCCCAGATTTTTCCCATCCTTATCCCCATCCATGTTCCCAGGTACTATGCTTTGGGATAAGGACCCTTGGAGAGAAGATGTCTTTAGTGCTTTGCTTTGAAGCTTACTAAGCCTGGCTGAAGGGATGAGGTTAGAAGAGCTTCTAGAGACCTCTTGCAGGGTCTTTCAGCCTGAATGCCTGCTGGTTGTGTCAAGAAAGGTGGTGCTCCCCCACTGGCTGCTGATAGATAAATGGGAATGCTCAGGACAGGGGATGCAGCGCCTGGCATGGGATGGAAATAGGGGGATTGAAATCTTACCTGGAGAGAGAGAGAGAGATGAAATTCACATCAGCCTCAGCTCTGACTGCTATGCTTACCTCCCCAGCCTCTTATACCCACAGTGTGCTGAGTGTTTAGATTGGCAGGGGTCTGAGGAGAAGAGTAAGGGGCCGGTGGTGGGGGCATAAAATACTGCTATAAATAACTCAGGTACCATTAGTTTGAAAAAGCAGCTTAGTGGCTACAAGATTAATGTCTAAAAGATTAGCAGGCTATTGCTGCTGGGACAACCTGGTGAGGATGAGGGATTGTTTCTGATGATGTTGTAAGCAGAGGAGCTTGTGAAGGAGAACTACAGAGTTTGGGCCTTATGAGGTCTTGAATCTGAAGCCTGGGCTCAAAGTGGAGTTGGCGGCCTGAAAGGTGGAACATCGTGGAGAATAGACACTGGAGGGCTCAAAGTATAAATGCTTGTGTTTCTGAAAGGAGAGCTTGTGTCACACTCTAGTTGCTGTGTTTCTTGATCGACTGTTATAGGCCACATAAAAGTCAAAGGGATTGGAAGGAGCTCTTCCTTTATCCTGGCATCCCTTGAACTCTTGAAGATAATGACAATCAGGAAGCTTGATTATCCCAGCTTATGTGCCCAGCAGGAGTCGATCCTCTGTAGACGGTGGGGGTGGAAGGGGATGGGAGTCATGAGTATGTTGGGTTATGTGTGCCCATGACTATGACCCTTGAGCATTTTTTTTTTTTCTTAAAGGAGAGGAAGACAAAAAGGAATCCTAGTCTGAGAGGTTGCATATGGAAGGTATAGGGAATTGAGAGGTCTGTTGCCCCACCTAGATTAACCCCCAGCCTCCTGCTTTTGACTCCCTCCAGTCCCTGAAGCTAAGTCTCTACCCTAAGCAGCTTCCCTTGCCTCATATGACTACTCATGGAATTAAGCTATTTCTGTGTCTGCAGCTGCCAGGACGCCCACAATGGCAGCAACACAGTAATCTTCCTTTAATATTCTTCTTGTACAGCCCAAGCCAAGGCTTTGTGAGCCTGGAGAACATTGAGATAGAATCCTTCAGCTCTGGGGAACCCAGCACCTTGACCCCTCTCAATTCTTACATCTGGCTGATCTATGATACTTGTCTACCGACAGCCCTCCGTACCTCTGGCCAAGGCCTTCCCTAACACTGCTCACCATGGGTCCTGGAGGGCTGTCCTGCATTTCTCTTTCTGTGTCATTTCCTTCCACTCTTTGCCAGTAGGCACCCTTGTCATTTGTTTGCTGTAACTCTGTCCTTCTCAGGCGTTTCTGGTATTCTTCAGAAGCCACAGTGATTTAGAAGCTAATGCTGGACATCCGGACAAGAGTCTTGCACTCATCACTGTGGTATCTGCGGGGTAGGTGAAAAGTCAAAGTGAATCGACCTGTGGACTAGTCTGTATCAGATCCATATTTTGAGATTCCTGTTTCCCTTTAAAGGGCTTGACTCCTAGTTCAGTGCAGCTCCATGGCTCCCTCAATAGGAAGAAAATAGACTTGGAAGGCCCTTAATTTGTTGTTATGACTGAACTTAAATCACTGTGTCTTCTAGGAACATATGCATTTCTTCAGTAACAGTAAAACGCACACATCTTTTAAAAAAGTATTTATGTTGGAAGTCAGAATTACAAAAAAAAAAAAAAAAAAAAAGGAGAGAGAGAGAAAGAAAGAGTCTTACATTCACTGATTCACTTCCCAGATAGCCAGTGCCAGGCCAGGCAAAGCCAGGGACACAAGCTTCATCCAGGTCTCTCACTCAGGTGACAGGGGTCCAATGACTTGGGCCACCTTCTGCTGCTCTTTTCTTTCCCTTCTCAGGGATCTGGATCCAAAATGGGGCAGCTAGGTCTTGAACTGGTGTCCATATAGGATGCTGGCATCACAGACAATGGTTTTCCCCACAATGCTGCGATGCTGGCATCCTCATTTATTATCTTACATGTCGGAAGTGCAAAATTAGTTTCAATGGGCCAAAGTCAAAATGCTGGTCAGGCTATGCCAAGACTGTAATAGCCACTCTGACCAAGAGACACCACAGGGAGAACCCTGAACCTTGCCTTTGCCAGCTCCTAGAGCTGCAGTCCTTGCATGCCTTGGCTGTTGGTCCCTTCCTTTGTCCTCAAAGACAGCAGTGTAGCTGCTTGGGAAGAAGCTCCTGGTTCCTTGCTTTAGTCTGGCCCTAACCTGGCCCTTGTGGCCATTTGGGGAGTGAACCTGAAGAAGGAAGAGTGCTCTCTCTCTCACTCTGTCTCTCTCTCTAACTTTGCCTTTTAAATAAATAAAAGAAATCTTTAAGAAAAAGAATAAATGCATATTGTTTTAAATCACCAAGTGTGGTAATTTGTTACAGCATCCATGGGAAGCATAACCATCACACTCATCAAGATCCTGAACATTCCCATCTCCTTTACAAAAAACAACTTCCTTTGTACCATTTTGTAGTTAGAAGTCAGCCAAAGAGAACTCTTGCCATAGTTTCCCATGAAGGTGCAAGGTCCCAAGGCCTTGGGCCATCCTCGACTGCTTTCCCAGGCCACAAGCAGGGAGTTGGATGGGAAGTGGAGCTGCCGGGACTAGAACCGGCGCCCATATGGGATCCCAGCACACTCAAGGCGAGGACTTTAGCTGCTAGACCACCACACCAGGTCCATCCCTCCCACCCACCTTTTTAAAAAAATCAAACTGAGTTGGGATTTTCTGTTGCTGAAACTGGAAGCATACCAATAGATTCCAGTGGCTGTGGACAAAGGCTCTAGCTCAGTAGGAGAGGATAGGAAAGATCTAGAGGGTCAAATGGTAGAAACAGACCACCTGTGCTGTCTTAGGTGCTGGGCAAAGAAGTTCCTGTCTCTGCTGTAAAGTTGATAGCCTTGCTAGAGATAAAGAACAGACGGTTAGAGAGACAAAATGTGCACTTGACAGAGAAGACACATGGAAAAGCTAACGATTCTATGGAGTCAGTTACAATTCCCTGCATCATTCAGGGCTTCAGATTCCTGCCCCTTCTCATTAAGGTCGAGCAGGTTTCTGGTCCCTCTTACTGTGAGCAGAGGGCCCCACTTTTTCAATGCGTAAAGAAAATGCAGATCATTGAAGTGAACCTCTAGCACCCTCCAAATACACCTGCATGTTAATTCATAACAACCATGCAGAGGACAGTAAATACCACACGCCATGCTAGGTCCTTCACATTCATTGTTTCATTTTCTCTCCTCAATGGGCTCAGTATTCATTCCTTGTTCCACCTGCAAGGACTTGGGGAATAAAAAAGACTTAGCCATAGATACATAGCTGGTAGGTGATGAAGGACCACCAGGGGTCGATCTGGCTTCAGAACTTGCGTTTGCCCCATATCAGTTACCATCCTGCCCTCTCTTACTTTTCTGTCCTTTCTTCTCCCTCCTTTCCCCCATTCTTTCCTCAACCCTTCTTTCCTTCCTTTTGACCTCAGAGAAACAGGTTAGAAACCATGCTTTTCTCCCCCTTTCCTTTTTTCAGGCTCCAAGGAAATAGCAAACACTGCAGGAAAACTGTCATCAAGACATTTATCAATATCAGATATAAGGAGCCAGGAAGGAGAGGACTGGAAAACATGGTGGTGGTGAGAGTAGGGAAATGGGAGGGTGTCGGCAATAATAGTAAGCATACTTCCTATTTATCTGTCAGGGCAAAGAAGACAACAAACTTCCAATGTTTTCCAAATTCCATGGTCCCATTGAGGTACCAAATAGATGTGTCCCATAGCAAACAACATAGATGTACAGGACTTAGATTAGAGATTTGGAAATCATTAAACTCAATAAACTATAGCTACGGTATCTCATCCTAGGCGGTCTGTAGCATGTGCCATGGCCTTTGTAGAAACTGAATATGCTAAGAGTGTGAAGGGGGAGACATTCCTGTCAATGAGAGAGTTTTGGAGCTGGAATTTCTGTCATTAGAATCACTGATAACCTCTTAGTGGCAGCTGAAACCTTGTGAATGGATGTGCGGAGGGGGCAGAGAGGGAGGAGAGAAGAGAGAGGTAATAGAGAAGAGGAAGAGAGGGCACAGATGAGAGAAGAAGC